CCGCCATTGCCAGGGGGCGCGGCAGGGCGGGGCTGGCGGACCCGGTGGCAGCGGAGGCGGGGAGGCAGAGCGGGGCAGGGCCGAGGTTGAAGAACGGGGCGAGGCCGGCGTCGCACTTGCCGCCTGCGTTGTTGCAGGGAGGAAAGCAGGCAGGTGGGGGCCAGGTTGCCTTTCAGAGTGGCCGTGGTAGGTCGTGGCGAGCTGTCGCGGCTGCCCCAGGAATATGCTGCTTTGCAGCTCGACAGGGTCCTGCAAGCAGAAGAGGCACTACCTAGCGCGTGCAACGGCAGGTGTGCGGCCGCGGCCTCACCGTCGCAAGCGGGCTGCGCCTCGCCTCCGCAGGCGAGGCAGCGCATCTGGCCGGGAACGCACGCGAGGCCTTTGCCGCGGCACCTGCCAGCCCCCGCCTTGTCGCCCAGGCAGCATGGCGAGTCGAGGCGCCCGCAGCCCTCCACGTCCCGGCCCCCCTTGTGGTGGAGAGATGTAGGGTCCGCAGCAGCGAGGCTAGTCATAGCAAGAGCCCCAAGGAGGGCGTAGAGGCCGAGATTGGCCATGATGATCTCGGGGGCTGCCTGGCGTGCCTAGGATACAGGCAAGCGTACGTGACTTGTCATTACACGCTATAGTATCAACAGTGTATTACTTCGAATCAAAATTTACCTCGAAAACATATTTGCGAAGCACGCAACTCCAGGAGTTCTGCAGACAGCGCTGTCGGTTTTGCCTGGCCCGAGGAGCTCAATTGAAGGCGCCAATTGCCCCCACATACAATTGATCGACAGTCATATATATATTACCTGTTTTTATTACCTCGACAAGCCGATCCTGGGTCGTGCCACCCTGCACGAAGCTTTCGCAACACCTACGCAAGGGCCTCGAGCGGGGCTTGGCCTAGGACTCGCAATATCCTGATTTTTAGGATCCTAGAAGTAGCAATGGCATCCAAAATACAAGGCGTGGTCTATAGCGCGCTAGTTCTGGGGTGTCTGGCCCTTGCAGTGGTCCCCAGCGCCTCGGCGCTGGTCGTGAAACTGAACACGCTCATCCTCACAGTGCCAGGTGTGCCGCAGATCTGCTACAGGGTCGATGCCATGATGCTCTGGACGCCATAATGAGTCTGATACAACCTGTAACATGGCCCGCCACGGCGATTGATTGCGCACACGTGCCGCCTCGATTCATGTGCAGCCCCCTTCTCAAGCAGCGTGCCTTGCCGCAGCCCCCAACGGGCGGGCATACTTGCCCAATGCCACGTACGCGCCACACCCCTACCGTGGACCATGTCAAACCCAACGCACATCATTGCGCCCTTTGAAAGCACTCCCCTCCTTGGGCCCTCGACCTCCCTCCTTTTTCCCCCAGGCTACAACATCGACTTCCTCGAGCTCACTCTGCAGGGCTACGGCACCCCCTACACAATCGTCCGTTACAACTCAAGCAACCCCCTCAACTTCACGCAGCTCCTGTGGGCCCCTGACGGCTCCGCCAACTTTGCCGGCTACGTCATGTGAGCAGGCGGCGCCGGGCCTCGGTGTCACGAGGGCCCGGCTGGGCTGCTTTGTACAAGGAAGACGGCAGGGCAATACTCGAACCTGCTCGTCTCTCCACACGACGTTGGCTTTGAACACTCTTCAGGTCTGATCAACGCTCCTTGTTCTACTGCCGCACCCTCTCCCACCGCACCCGCTGCCACAAAGGGCGCCGAACATCGAGGCCATGGGTTACCTCAATAGCTCACAGGTCCTCACGATCTGGGACTACCAGAACCGCACAGGTGCGCGCCATTTCTGGTATTGTTTAGGCTTGCTGTTCATACACACGGTAGGTGCAGGGTACAGATTCCTGGCTTGCCCGAGTATGCCCCCAGGTCTGCCAAAAATGTTCAAGTGTCCTTGCACAAAGTCACTCCTACAGAGCGGGCTGCCATCCCCATCTTCAGGCTCCACACACGAATTCCCCCATCCTCTTGCCAGAAACAAATCTTGGAGATACAACTCATTTTGGTGTTGCAGCGGCACACCACGTGGTGCACCCTGATCCCACCTCCCCAGCCACTCGTTGTTTTAGGCGCACACGAGCACCTCCTCACGCGGACCTGCCACACTCGATCGCTTGCACCCACAATCAACCGCGCAACTCCCTCCAGGCGCCCGGTCGGTCAAGTTCCAGGCCGCGCCCATCAATGTGGGCCTCACCGCCAACCCGACTTGCAGCTCCGATGACGTCGCCATGAAGCTCACGGCCGCCGCGCCCCTGGGAACGTCTGGTATCGTGTCCTCAGCGCCTCTCAGCAGCAGCGGCCTCTACAGGTTTGCCACCATGCACGGATCAAGGCCAAGCGCTTATTGTATGCCATGGTTGATTTGCCAGCATGCAGCCCCGCTGCCTGCGCTTGACCGCCCAGCTTCACAGGCGCGCCCAATCACCCTCACGCGCCTACGTGGGCGCGCCAGCGCCACCCGCGCTATTGCCCCCACCCAACCCCCAACCATGTCAAGTCACTGCCCCGCATGCCGAAGCGCCAACGCATAGCCCCCTGCCTCACAACCACTAGTGACGGCCCCGCCATTGTCAACGCTGCACGCAGGTGCCCCGGCCTGGGTGGCGCGGCGCCGCTGACCACCTGCTCGATCTGGGCCAGCGACTTTGCCGCCACCGGCCTCCACGCCGCCTGCCAGTCAACGCCGGTCCTGATGGTTGGCGCCGACATTGCCGGGACGCTGGTCAAGTATGGAGACGGCCGGGAGTCGCTGGCATTCATGCATAATTGCGCCGGCTGGTCGACGAGTTGCCTGGTGAGTGCAAGAACATATCACTTGTTGTCAGCAGGAAGTCCACAGCAAGCGAGGGGTGGGGCATGTTTGCTTTGCTTGCCTGAACTTCTGGGGGACCAAAACATGTGATGGAAAACACCATCAACGCAAGGCATCGGCGCGTCTGCCAAGCGCCACCGAGCTGCCTCTTTGCTGTCTGGCGCCCAAGCCGCTCCTTGCGCAATACGACACTCGCGGGCGCGGCGCAGGTGCTGGGTCACGTGTCTCTGTCCTGGATGCTGCAGGGGCTCATCCCTGGGGAGCGCATTTCGCTGCTGACCGTCCACTTTGGTGAGGGTGCCTCGAGTCCGGGCGGCGCAATGGGATGGCAATTTGCCAAAGGTACTGCCCTACTTGTATCCGCTGGACAAGCCCCTCGTGCCTTGGAAGCGGTGCTGCTCGCATCAAAGCCAGGGACAGCTGTCCGCCTGTAGGCGGCCACATACAGCAGCAGTTTCTCGCGCAGGCTGCAGTCCTGCCAAGCAACGTGGATGGATTGAGGGCCGGGGTGAAGCTTATCAAAACTAGCGATGATGCATGCACCAAGCACACAGCCCTCGCTCCTAGACCGACGCGCCCCTCCCCCCCAACCAATCCCCCATGCCATCCCTCAGATGACGTGTTCCTCGCGACTGGTGAGCAGGGTCCCTCCCCGCACCCAGGGGTCCAAGCGTACAGGCGGCTGCGCCCAGCGGCCTCACCAGCCTTTCGCGGGCCCCCACCCGACTGACACTTTTCCCTGTCGCTACCTTCGACACCCCGCCTGCCGCCCCTGCCCTTTCCGCTATCCTCACCCACATTCCTTGTCCCGCCTCAAACACACGCAATCGCAATCCCGCCTTTGCCCACCCGGTCCCCAGAGTTTGATGACAACCTGCAAGCCGGGGTCCTGACAGAGTACCGCCTGACAGTGCCAGACCTCCAGGCCCACCTGACCTGGCGCAAGAACCTGACGGCCACCTATCCCAACACCACCATCACGTGAGCGCGTGACGCCGCGCGCGCGCCGGAACGGTTCCAGCCGTGTGGGGCGACAAACGGCGCCGCCGCCTGTGTTGCATAGTGCTCGGCACGCATCTGGCGCCCACCCTTGGTGGCGGGCGCCCTGCCATTGCCGGGTGCTTTGCACGTCCGCCGCCGCGCAGGCAAGCGCAGAACCTTGGACGCAGCAAAACACAGCACACTTTGACGCCTCTATCCCGCGCCGTCATTCCGCACATGCTCCGCTGCCCCAGGTTCGAGCTGCCCTTCAACGGCAACGGCATATTGGAGAAGGTCGCCACCACCCTCGCAACCACGGCCGTGTCGCCCATCGACGTGGACGACCGCAGCTGCATCGACTTCCCCGACTACGCCACCCTGGGCTGCTCCTGCTGGTTCACCGGGACGGCCGCCTGCCCTGCCACCCAGCCCGCATTCTGCCGTAACTGCACCAAGGCGCGCGGGCTGGGCCCCACCACTCCCTTGTGCCCAGTCCTTGCGCCGTGGAGCCGAGTTCAATTTGCTTGCGGGGGTTGCAAAAGCTTGACGTGCTGGGGCCTTCCAAAAACTCGTCACCCGCGCTGAGTCATGGCGGTCATCTCACCGAATATATGTGTTTCGCCGCTTCTCCCCCTCTTTACCCCAGGATTGGGCCAAGCCGCTCGGGTCGGGCGTCAACCGCGCTCCTCAGGTGTGGGGCGTTGTTGGGGAGGGAAGGGAAGAGCAAGAAACCCCAATACCGCTGGCTGGGGCCCAACGCGGGGACAAGCACAGGCCTGAGATTCGGTCTAATCAACAGCCAATCACATGCTGCCTCGCGCTGGTTCCCTACGCTGCACAGACGAGCCCTCACAATAGAAAAAGCACACTCTCAAATGTCCCTTGACACATCCTGGGTTGTGAGCATTGCAATTACATGAGACCCAAAACTCAACCCCCATGCAGAGCGCCAAGACCAACAACGCCACCTGGAACATCGCCAACTTCACCGCGGGCGACCCCCTGGCAAAGTTTGTTGTTGCCAACACCAACGGCCAGGCCGACGGTTTCTTCTGGAGCCACCACACTGTGGGTACCGCCCCTTGATTTGACTATTTATTTTGAATGACACTGTGTTTCAGGCCTTTTTGACGTCAATCAAGAAACGTGCTCCCTCGAACCTTGCTGGGCCGCTTTGGGGCCGCTCCTCAGACTCAAAACATGACGCCCAGCTGATTCCTGAAAGGGTCTGACGAGGACGTAATTGACACATACACCGCCGCCGCAAAACTGCCCCAAACCGCCCCACAACCCTGTCGGCCCCCCGCAGTTTTCCCACGAGAACCTGGACAACGTGACATCCTTTGACACCGACATCCAGATCGAGCTCAACATGCAGATGGCGGTGCGCTGCGCCAGGGCCCCCTTCGCGTGCTCGCTTGCAGGGTCACGCACACAGCGCAGGAAGTGCGCATGTATTGCTGGCAGTCTCCCCAGACGACATGCCCGCTGGGCTGCCAGCGAAACATGTTTTTTACTTTAAGGTTCAGCGCATTGGAATTGGATGATCATCCAGATGTTTCAAAAATAATTCAATAATACTAATGATCAAGTATGCTTTTGCTAAAATGAACAAATCATATATCGATGCTAATGTTTAGACACACCGCCACCCTCCACCTGTCTACCTTGCAGTCGATCCTGGGCCTGGCCTCCCGCAAGTCCTTCAGCACCAAGTGCATGGTCACGCCCCAGGTGAGACGCCTGCAAAGCCAACAGTTGGTTTGAACTCTAAACCCTGAACCCCACATTGGCAGGTCATGCGTGCACGGCCGCCCATGCTTTGGTCTGTAGTGTAGTGCCCCGCGTGGTGAGGCAAGGTGGCATGTTGATGCATGTGCTTGCGTTTTACGCGTCCTCATCAGGGCTAATAATGGATGTCTCAGAGGTGATTGAATTGCCCGACTTCTCATAAGTGTTCATGCACTTTATGATGGCCGCCGCTGCTGCTCCGCTTTTCCTGAATACGCAGATCAGCGGCCTCCGCAACGGTGACGCGCTCGCCTCCCTGGCGCGTCACAGTATCAATTGTGCCGCGGGAGATAACACATGGTGAGGGGCAGGCGGCCACATCTGACACAAAAAGAAACCGACACCCCCCCCCTCTGAGCTTCGCTGCCAAGCAGCCTGGGTCTGCCGGTGTTCTTGCCTTGCAAGGCCTGCCGCTGAGCAAATCCCAACAGCACACACATCACACACTTGCAACCGTACTGGCAACAGGAATCACTGCGCCTCCATGCCTCTGCCGACCCTGCCCCCTTGCACTTGCAGGCCGTTCCTGATGAACTCTGTCAACCCTCACCAAATGCTGGTGACCACCAAGGCCGCCAATGGGTACAACGGTTTCCAGATTCTGCCAAGGTTTGCCACTGAGATCTACTACAACTGCTCGACCCCCACTCAAAACATGGTCTTGTACAACAACCTGTACAGGTGAGCTGTGGGGGCAGTGTCATCAAAATTGCGTGCCTTGCCGAATGAAACGTGTACCACCCATACCATATACCACAGCTGCCCCTGCATGGATCGCTCGCGCATTTCTCAATTCGCACCCCCCATTGCACCCTCGCCCGCCGACATGCGGTACGACCCTTTCAGGTCGTACTTCGGTGGGGACTCGACCATCGCTGACCTGCTGCAGCGCGAGGCAACCCGCGTGCTGCGGGAGATGCTGAAGCTGCGCCACGACCCCCACATGATGGTGGGTCAAAGTATCAAGGCTTTATTCGGGAGCATCTCTTTGCTGGGATTCAATAGACATTAAGCATTGGTCCAAGCTCGAAGTCCGCTAGGCTCTCAATCAATCAATTACGCAAACAGCAAAAAAGCCGTTGTTGCACCCGCCGCTCCACGCTACACCCGACCAACCCGCCCTCCGTCGCCCGCAGCACCAAGCCAACCTGGCAATCCTGGACGGTTCTGGCAAGAGCCTGTCAATGCGCTGGGTGGAGGCCGTCGTGGCTGAGTTGCGTAAATACGCCTCGTGGCCCCTCACCTCCCTCAAGCTCGACGACCTGAGGGCCGCGTTCCTGTCCAGGCAGGCGCGCGAGGCATGTGCCCTGTCGTACGCGATAGAGGTCGGCACCAACGGCACCATTACAGCCCTAACAGTGACGAGCGGCGCGGCTGCGGACGGGACCCAGTGCTCTGCGCCGCTGATGACAGGTGCTAGCAGCACCAGCACATCCGTGGCCAAGGGCGGTTCTGCGCGGGCCCAGCCAAAGGGCCTGTCCTGGTATGTGCCTCACATTGTTTGAACGGGCTTCGGCAATTCAACAAGCGCCACCGGCAGCCAGTCTTATTGAATACATATATACACACCAAAAAAGCAGACTCGGCGCCATGAAGCGTATTCATGGGAGCTTTTTATGGGAGCAGCAGGATGTATGTCTGTGCTCGTGCGTTCCTCTCAACCCTTGAGTCTTGTGTTTTTGCCTCACTCATGAGTAGTGACCACTGATCGATCAACCAATACCAGGGATTCACAAATAAGGCACGGGCTGCTGCGCTAGCTTGATAATTTTCTAGACTCTACAATTTGTGTGAGCGGGCCCCAGCCGTGAATTACACGCTGCTGCGCTAGCTTGATGGTTTTCCCTTGACTTTATCTTATCCAATTAGCGGCTCCCAGCAGTGCAGGCCTGCTGCCAGGCCCGTGCATGGCAGGTGGCGGCGTTGCTGCCTGCCGGCGCTTCATCGCAGGCCCATGCAGTTGCCATGGGCCGGCATTTTACTTCACATTTATGTTGGTGCTGAATTTTCCTAAGCTGGCTTGAGGGTCAATCAATTCACTTTGCAGCGCACGTCCCCTCCCTCCAGTCATGCGAGCTAAACCCCAACATCTCAGAAGGACTGCCAGGTTGGCAGCCAATTTCATACCCATCACCACGTGTTCTGCCGCCTGCCTGCACACGCCGTTCATACGCAGCGTGGGTGAAACACACCCCTTCTTGATTTATGGAATTGTGACATAAATTGCTGTGGGTGGTTGTGGGGGAGGCAGAGGGTGGGGGTTGGAAGCATGATGGGATCTCCTGGGGCACATGTGTGGTGCTTTAGGGTTTATACAATACATCGTCTTTGCCCAGTGGCAACGCCCTGAGGCAGCAGACTCACGAATATCAGCAAAACTGACCTCATGCCATGCGACTGATTTAATAATGTAATTATGCCGTCATGAGTGGTGTCCGAGAATCCTGGAGGGCAAGCTTTCATCATTGGCTTGTTGTCCGAGGGCAATTACCAACAAAATGCTGGGTCTCAGCGCTTTGCCGCAACAAAACAAATCGTGTGCAACGCCGCCGCTCAGGCCCATCTGTTTGTAAACGTCAGGGAGGCGTACAGTCGTGATGGCCGCTGGGGAGCAGGTCTGCTAGCAAGAAAAAATACTCTGCAGGCTTGCGCGATATTTGAGAACAGAGGACACGCAGCTGCGGTGCAGGAGCCCCAAAGGGCTGCATCTGTCCCAAGAGATGAGAACTGTATGTGCGGGTTTGTGTGTCGAGACCGGAATCCTCATTTATGAACTCACGCCTGGAAGTCACATCAGAAGTCACTGTGCTGCAACTCGCTGTTGCAGCTGCATTGGCTTCTGATTGATCAATTTACACATGTAGATTGCGTCACAGGTCACTGCGCTGCAATTAGCTGTTGCAGCTGCAGCCAAGCGCTATTACATGCGGCCTAAGGTACCGCGCATGCATTGGCCCCAAGCTTTTGATCAAACGTACAGGCCAGGACCACACTCCCATATTGCTTGCAAGGCACACTCGCGCCACAGCAAGGCTGCCTGGGGCCGCCGCAGGCCACGCACACGCCCTCAAGGCACACGCGGCCGCGCCGGCACGTCGCAGCCGCGCCGCCGCCGCAGCGTCCAAAAAGCCGTGGGGCGGCCCCGCTCGCACTCGTCTGATTGACCAGGCGTCCGAGGGCGTTGACCAGGGACGCGTTGCGGGGCGGCGTCGATTGCTGCTGCAGGGTCAGGTTGGGAGGCAGCGAGGGCAGCTCGCGGCCAGAGGGGGCACAGACAGGGAAGGGGCTTCCCGCATCGAAGGCGGACAGGCCCGGGTCGCAAGTGCGGCCTGCGTGGTAAACATGCACGAAAGAGCATGCATCGATGGGAGGAAGGCGTGAAGTGCAAACAGACGCAACTCCATATTGAGTCGCAGCCTTTGAGCGTGAGCATCCAGGCAGACAGCTTCGTTGCCGTGCAGACTTTTCACTCGCAAAGCATCAGTAGGTAGCACATCAGGCGCCGCTCGGACCGGCCAAGCGTCTGAAACGCCCCAGCCACACTTTCAAATCCGAGTGATGTGAGAGCCGATGCGCAGGCACCAACCTTCCAACGACCCCCGGGCGCGCGCTGCCAGCATGCTGGCGGTCTTACCGCTGCAGGCCGGCTCGCCCTCTCCGCCGCAGGCCCGGCAGCGCAGCTCCGGCCCCAGGCACGCCATGCCCTGCTTGCAGCCCCCTGAAACCTGCCCGCCCTGATGGCAGCAGATCGCGTCAAGCTCGCCGCAGCCCTGCGGGTCGAGGCCGCTGGCCAACATTTGAAGGCCGCCCGAGGCATCAGACACCACCAGGGGCGGTGCGGTGGCGAGGGCCGCCACGACCAAAACGAGCGCTGCGGCGTTTGCACGGTTGGTGCCCATGCTGCTGCCTGTTTGTGCTTGTCCTGCACAGATCTGTGAGATTCTGGTCATGATCAGCAACCGCACGGCCGCCAGCAAACGTATCACTTGCATTAAATGCAAGTAAAGGCAAGGGCTGCTGGACGACACGCAGAGTGCCATTACAAGGCTTGGGTAGCTGCTGCTACATCTGCAGAAGCTGCCAACCGCCCGCGACCGAGGCACGCAGCCGAGCACGACAGGCCGAAAGATTACATCCCATCTCGGATCTCAGACTGGAAATCCCTTGCAATTTGCTCAATAGTTTTGTTGGCTATAATCCAGGGTGGCCGTGCACCCATGGAGGTCCACCCTGATCCGAGGCCAAATGTGTGGCACAATCTGGTGCCTCTCGCTGGCAACAGCTGCCTTAGGGGGCTACTATGGCCCCTGCTGCAGTGACGAACAAACCAGCACAGCGCAGCTGGCAAGCAAGCTCTTGCTGGACACATACAGTCGTGCATTTCTTACTGTATCAAACCTCAAACGGCCCAGAAGCTGTCTGGCTTGACTGTAAAGAATGCGTGCTGCAAGTGGTCCTGGCTTTGCAAAGCCCAATCGTGCAACCAAGTTTATTGCGTATTACAGCGGTGGGAATACCACTCGTGCGTGGCGCAGCCCTTGATTCAACAATTTTGTGTCCTGCAGTGCAAAATCAACACGTAGGCTTGCTTTTTGTTGTGCACAGAGTCGAGCAAATTGAGCAAGGCCGCGAGGGTGAGATATCACCACAGCACTCAATATGGCAAACAACGGTATGCAAACATAGCGCCCTGCAAGGATGTTGTTGGGTGTTAGTAGTAAGAGCCGCTGGGGAATGAAACGGTTTTGCCTATGACTGTTTGGATTATTGTGAATCACATGGTCAGCAAGTGTGCATCAAAACAGCACACAAGCTCGAAGGCCAATTCAGCTCCACAGGGCCAATAACACACAGGCACTTGAGCCACCGCGGGCCTCGCAGCACATGCCCCCAACAAGTGAGATCAGATCAGATCACTTCTTGGACGCCTTGACGCACGCGTTTGTCGCGAGCTTCTGGTCGAACTGGCACGCCATGGCATCGCCATCAAACTGGCGGCAGCTGTTCCCCGCGCAGCACGGCTGCTTGGGCCCGCCGCAGGGCACGCACATGCCGCTGACGCACGCGCCGCGCTCGCAGGTGTTGCCGTCGAGGCAGGAGCGCATCGCCTTCTTGCCGGTGTCGCTGTCGCGCTTGCGGCGGTCGGCGGCGCTGACGCCGATGTTTGCCAGGGGGCGCGGCAGGACGGAGCCGGCGGAGCCGGTGTCGCGGGAGGTGGGGAGGCAGAGCGGGGCCGGGCCGAGGTTGAAGAAAGGGGCAAGGCCGGGGTCGCACTTGGCGCCTGCGCATATGTGGCAAGAGGTCGTGGGGTTCATGGGAGTGAGGTTTACAAAGGGCGGAGGCGTCACGTGCGTGGTAATGGTGGCGTGAGAGGGTTGGCTGCGCTGGCCGCAAGTGGCTGCGGCTGCCTCGGGCGCGCACGAAGCGACGACTCGTGGGCGCAGCCTCGAGCGGCAGCACAGCATGTACCACGCGCCCCTCCGCCCCCCAGAGCCGGCCTCACCGTCGCAGGCGGGCTGGGTCTCGCCACCGCAGGCGAGGCAGCGCATCTGTCCAGGCACACATGCAAGGTTGTTGCGGCACCTGCCGGCGCCTGCCTTCTTGCTCAGGCAGCAGGGCCCATCAAGGCGCCCACAGCCCTCGGCGTCCCGGCCCCCCTTGGACACCAGGGAGGGGCCGAATGCGGTGGGGTCTGCTGCGACGAGCGCGATACTGGCAAGAGCCACGAGGAGGGCGATGAGGCGGAGATTTGGCATGGTTCCGGAGGCTGCCTTGCTCGTGCTTGAAAACGAGGCAAGTGTTTTGGGTTCTTGCGGGGCTAAGGCGGCAAGAAACAACACTCAAATACATACCAACACTATTTAATTCATAGTCATCAACTAAGCTCGCGTCTGGCCAGGAGCCCTGCGGACGCAAAACAGCCAGCCCAACCCAGCCTCGGCAGAGCTCAAACGAACCCCCTGGAATCACACTTTCATGTACACTTAAGGAAATACATGCGCTTCGAATACCCTTACATCACCTTCAACGGGATCCCTCTCGCGGCATTCTGCAATCAACCCAGCGCCGGCGCCTTATTCCCGGAACCCTTGAGTTTCACAAGGCCGTTGACCGTCTCAGATGGATCAGAAGTTCGTGGCGTGTGCTGCGCTGATGCTCGGCTGTCTTACTTTGACTGCGGTGCCCAGCGCCTCGGCGCTGGTCGTGAAACTCAACACTCTCATCCTCACAGTGCCAGGTGCGTCGTCGGATCCCTCCAGAAACCAGGAGTTAATGCCTGATGCACCTGAACAAACTGAACCTATCCAGCAAGGCCACTTACCACCGCCTTGGCGTGTCGTAGCCTGCGCCTCGAGCCGCGCCGTGCACTGCTGACGCAGCAGCCGCCGTTTCGCCTCGGCCTGCTTCGGCGGGGCCCAAAGGCGCGCCCCCGTGCCCCTCACTCCGCCCGCCTGCCACACGCACAACTGCAGCCTTCCCACGAACCAGAAGTGTGCCCCTGAGCGATCCCTGTATGTCAACGCACTCTGCTCTGCAATTTGCATCAATTCAACCCAACACCAACACAGGCTGGAACATTGATTTCCTGGAGTCCACCCTGCTGGGCTATGGCGCCCCCTACACCGTCGCTCGCTACGACAAGAGCAACCCCCTCGACCTGACCCAGCTCCTGTGGGCCCCTGACGGCTCCGCCAACTTTGCCGGCTACGTCATGTGAGCTTCGGCCCCAGGATGTGTGTGTGGTTCAGAAACGGCGCCATGCGTGTCGGCACTTTGCTGCAACAGCTGGCCAGGGCTGCGGGACGGAAGCGGCCGGAGCGAAGAAGCGTAATGTGGGGCAGGGAGCTCCCAAAGCACGTGACGGCGCTTTGTCACTGGACTAATCCCTCTTCTGCATTGCACAATCGCCCACAACACCCACTTTCTCAAGGTACCCCAATATTGAGGCAATGGGCCATCTCAACAGCACACAGGTCCTCACCATCTGGGACTACCAGAACCGCACAGGTGGGCGGCGGTGCTCAATGGATTTGGTCTTGCACGGGGGGGGGGGGTGCAAACTCACACGTGCCTTTGGGGTAGGCATCATGCGCATCAACACTGAAATTCAACAGCGGAGTGCAGCGCCGCAGAGGCATGCACACCCACTCCCAAACCCACGCCCACGCCCACGCCCACTCCCACGCCCACGCCCATTCCCACGCCCACGCCCACGCCCACGCCCTCGCCCACGCCTCGACCTAAACCTATATCCTCACCCACACACAATTGCAAACACACACTCATATATGCAGGCGCCCGTTCCGTCAAGTTTGGTGCGTGGCCGACCAACGTCGGCATCGACGTCAACACCACCGCCTGCAGCTCAGCTGACGTCACCATGACGTTCACAGCCGCCGCACCCCTGGGGGCGTCTGGCATTCTCCCCTCTGCACCGCTCAGCAGCAGCGGCCTCTACAGGTGAGGAGGGATTCTTGCAGTCGCCTCCACCAGGCGGCTCGGTTTGCACGTCGTGGGACAAGGAGTGGGTTGTGAAGTGCAGCCACCTTGTGTGGCTGCTGAGTGTCGCTGCATCAGGACAACTTGCTGGTGGACCTGGACCGAACGTTTGATTCTGTACTCTCCCAGGGCGCTACTGTCACGCACCTCACTCGCTCAAATGCCACACGCTGGTATGCACTGCTGTTGCGCACTGGCAGGGCCCCGCCTTTCACCCTGCCTGGCAACTTCCAAGACTGCCCCCCTCCCTGTTGCCGATCGCGCTTTTGCTGACATCACCACATGCAGGTGCCCCGGCTCGGGCTCGGCAGCGCCGCTGACTACCTGCTCAATCTGGGCCAGCGACTTTGCCGGCGCCGGCCTGCACCCGGCCTGCCAGTCCACGCCCGTCCTGATGGTCGGCGCCAACGTCGCGGGCACGCTGGTCAAATTTGGGGACGGGCGGGAGTCGCTGGCGTTCATGCATGACTGCGGCGGCTGGTCCACCACCTGCCTGGTGAGCACATTACTGTAGAGTGGTGATAAGGCCAGAGGGACTGAGCTCACAGCATCTTGAAACAAGGAACCAGGTAAGACATCTGGGCATTTTGGACCGCAAAAGTCCAAGTGCTGTGAATGCCTGGTCGTCGGCCTGGACATGGAGCAAGACACGCACCTGGTACTTTTGCACAGCCGGCCCTGCCACCGGCGCCTCCACATCTGCCCTCTGCTTCCCCTGGCTCGCCGTGTCCCGTGCGCCGCAGGTGCTGAGCCACGTTTCACTGTCCTGGATGCTGCAGGGACTCATCCCTGGGGAGCGCCTGTCGCTGCTGACAGTCCATTTTGGTGAGGGTACTGTGCACCGCCAACCCAGATGATTGCCTGCCTTGATCCTTGGAACATCCAGCAGCAAACCAGCACGAGCGGTCCCTGCCTGCCTCGGTGGAACGTGGCCCCCTACCGTGCTGGAGAAGATGCTGGCACTGGCTTGCAGCCTCTCTGAGATGCCCAGGGAAAGATGCCTGTGATGAGGGACTGTTCCATCACACATCATGCATTCTTTGTAGCCAAATGCGGAGCGCATATACGGCCCTGCCACCCACTAGCACAACCCTGTGCGTCCCGCACCGCCCGCGCCGTCTATCCCCAGATGATTTCTTCCTGGCGACAGGTGGGGCGCGGCCCTATACCTGTTGCAGCCGCTCTTTGCTGCACATGTGTCCAGCCGCGAGAGCGCAGCCACCGCATGCGACGCTCTTGCGTGCAACCGACGATGCGCTCAGAGCGTCCGTTTGCCATCAATTTTGTGGGCCCCTGGTAGTGAGGCTCTACCCGCCGCCCAAGTTGGCGGCTGGCATCCCAAGACCGTCGCCGTGGAAGCATTGCTGCACCATCCAGTGTGACAGCGCTGCCCCGGCCCACCCCACGCACCTCTACTGCTGGCCGCCGCTGGCCCCGCTCCCATCCCCCTCACATACGCCCCCAGAGTTCAAGCGCTCACATACGCCCCCCTCACATACGCCCCAGAGTTTGACGCCAACCTGAAGGTCGGGTCCCTCTCCCAGTACCGCGCGACAGTGCCAGACCTGCAGGCCCACCTCACCTGGCGCAGCGCCCTGGCGGCATCCAGGCCCGGCACTACAATCACGTGAGCCTGCGCCACCACGCGCGTGCCTTGCCACCCAACCAGCAACCGCCCCGCCGGGCACCCAGACGCCCCTCAGAGCCCTCGGACCCGGCTGCCGCCTGCTTGCCGGGTCCATGGGCAGGCTCGGCCCAGCAGCACGCAGTTGCTGCTGCAAGCAAGCCTCGGCAACCTCAAACATTGCACCGCGCCCGCCCTGACGCACCCTCCAACTTGCGTCCCAGGTACGAGCTGCCCTTCAACGGCAACGGCGTGCTTGAGCAGGTCGCCAACACGCTCAAGCAGACCAACGTGTCGCCTATCGACGTGGATGACCGCAGCTGCATCGACTTCCCCGACTACATCACCCTCGGCTGCTCCTGCTGGTTCATCGGGACAGCTGCATGCCCCGCCACGCAGCCCGCGTTTTGCCGCAACTGCACCAAGGTGGGTGTGCCGCTTGCTTATGTTTCGGGTATTGTAATTTGCCAGCTGGCTGTGCTGGCTCTTGCAGGTTCAGGGTGTCACCTGCTGCTTGCGCGCTGGTGGTACTTGGGTCTCATGACAAGGAGTGATATCGGCCCCCATCTGCCCTGTGGTCCCCCCCTCTCACCGCCATCAGGACTGGGCCAAGCCCCTCGGCTCTGGCGTCAACCGCGCCGCCCAGGTGTGAGGCTTGACGGTGGGCTGGGCAAACCACCGCGGCAGCGTCGCTGGGCGGCACCTGAAATTAGCAGAGCCGACGCAAACGCGTGTTTTGCACGAACCACGTGCCCAGTCGCTGGTGCTGGCCCCTCACGCTTACCCTCTGCCGCCACCAGCCACAACTCGAATTATGAACAATTTGAAACGTTGTCAACACCAACACAAACCTCATGCAGAGCACCAAGACCAACAACGCCACCTGGAACGTCGCCGACTTCAGCGCTGGCGACCCCCTGGCCAACTTCATCATCACCAACACCAACGGGCAGGCGGACGGGTTTTTCTACAATCACCACACGGTGGGTCCCCCGCTTATCAATCGACCTTGCTTGGCTGACAATTCTGTGTTGCGAAAGGCTTTTCCCAAGGCCTGGGTTGTCATGAATGCGGCCGCCAGCTCTTCAGGCGCTGTTGATCAGCGGCTGGCCAGGCTAGAGCAGGAGTTGCCCACGGCTGGCTGCGGCATGCCATCGCAAGGTCATTTCGTGGCCGCTGCAGCAAGCACCATCAACCCGCCGCACCACAACTCTGCCGGGGCCCGCAGTTCTCCCACGAGAACCTGGACAACGTGACAACTTTTGACACCGACATCCAGATCGAGCTCAACATGCAGATGGCGGTGCGCCGCTTGGGGTGCCAACGCTTCTGCCTTCTGGGCCGAGCGATGGATTAATGCGCAGCCGCCCCGTAACACAGTGATTACTTGCACTTGAGCCGTCCAACCCGACGTTGTGTTCCTCCAACAACCCCTTGCCCGCCTTGGTGCCCCTGTCCAGCTCAGCGCCTTGCAATCACTTGTGATGATGCGCTGGCTCGGCTCTAGAGACCCGTATATGTCATCTTGTTCTGCCTGCCTGCCTTCCTGCCTGCCGCCTCCCCCTGCGCAGACGTACCTGGGCCTTACCTCACGCAAGTCCTACAGCAGCAGCTGCATGGTCACACCCCAGGTGAGAAGCCCGCAAATCCCAGCCTGTCGCATGGACCAGCCGCGGTTGGTTGTGCATGTTTGAGGGCGCACCCGCAAAGGCCTGCACTTGGCGGCCCCACTTATGGCGATGAGCCGCATGTGCTTTCCTGCGCTGCCCCGCACCTTCGGCCGCCGAAATTTCAAGCTTCTGAGCTTCTGCTGTCGCCGCGGCTCCTCTCTGCCCTATCGTTATAACACAGATCAGCGGCCTCCGCAACGGCGACGCGCTCGCCTCCCTGGCGCGTCACGGCATTGCGTGCAGCGTTGGCGACAACACCTGGTGAGGGCGCCGCTGAATCAGGCTCGGCTGCTTACCTGCAAACAAATGCATGGTACTGGCATTGTTGCACACCCAACACCCCTCCCCTCTCTCCCCTTGCCAGCTGCGTTGATGCCAGCCAATGCGTAAGACGTCAAACGCACGCCATGCATGCGGGTGCCCTTGCCCAGCGGCATTGGCAGCCGCTCTTCACAACATCACTCACAAGCAAGTAATCAAGCTGGATCATCCCACCTCCTTGCATCTTTCCTGACAATTCTGCCCGCAGGCCGTTCCTCCTGAACACTGATAACCCTCACCACATGCTGCTGACCACCAAGGCCACCAACGGCTACGATGGATATTCGATCCTGCCGAGGTTCGCCACCGAGATCTACTACAACTGTTCGACTCCCACCCAGAACATGATCCTGTACAACAACCTCTACAGGTGAGCCCGCGGCACACGGTCAGTGTGATGATTATGGTTTGTTACAGGTTGCTGCCAATTTATTGCACTGCATGTACGCAGCTTGTCTGTCTGTGCCAGCAGCGAGCATTGCCCTGCTGTCCCGCCACGCAAATCGGCTGCCGTGATCTGTACTTATAGACGGGCCAATATATCATCTGAAGCAGCACGCCCAACCGCGCCCTCATGCAACCTACCCGCTCAGGTCGTACTTCGGCAATGACTCAACAATCTCCGACCTGCTGCAGCGCGAGGCGGTGCGGGTGTCGCGCGCGCTGTTCAACCTGCACCACGACCCGCACATGATGGTGGGTTCAGGGCTATGGCGCGTCGCCAGGGTCTGGAGCTCTGAATAGGGTTTTGGGTTACAGGCGGTTGGCCGAGGTTAGGTGGACCGCAATAAGCCGTCCCCACAGTTGGCATTCGCAAGCTCTAGCCTGAATTGCAACGTAAGGCAGCTGTGCTGCTCTGCTGAAGCTCGAAGGCAAGGTTGCGTGGTTGTTGAGCTCACAGGCAGCTCCCTCGATGCCCACTACCATGCATTTTGTCAACGCCCTCCAAACCTTGCCCCTGTCACGCACCTTAACCCCCATGCGTCCCGCAGCACCAAGCCAACCTGGCGATTCTGGACGGCTCCGGCAAGAGCCTGTCCATGCGCTGGGTGGAGGCCGTCGTGGCTGAGTTTGGCAAGTACGCCTCGTGGCCCCTCACATCCCTCAAGCTCGACGACCTGAGGGCCGCGTTCCTGGCCAGGCAGGCGCGCGACGCGTGCGCACTGTCGTACGCGCTTCAGGTTGGGACCAACGGCACGGCGTCGACACTCACTGTGACGAGCGGCGCGGCCGCGGACGGGACCCAGTGCTCGGCGCCGCTGATCATGGGCGGTAGCAGCATGAGCATGGCCGTGGCCAAGGGCGGTTCTGTGCAGGTCCAGCCTGCAGGGCTGTCCTGGTACGTGCCCCAGCCCGTGTGACCGGCTGCAATCGACATTTTCAGTGGACAGCCGATCCCGTGATTCTGTTACAAATAAATACATAAAACACCTGAGCAGCGGCGTCCTGATGTGCACAGCACGCCGGCCACGCTCCCCTTCTCTGGCCTGCGGCGCCGGCTGCTATCGTGTCCACACCGCAAAGCTCCATGTTGTCATACCCGCTGCTGCGATAGCTGGATTGGTCACGTCTCGATTAAAGCATCAGAATAACAACGCGGTGGTGCTGCCATTCAACCAAACCGCTGACGTGATGTTTTGGTTTCGGGGTGTCCTGTCAGCTGATTGTTGTTGTTGTCGCAGCGGCACGCAGTTGCTTCCCAATAATTCTGTTGCCGTTGAGATTCCCAGGCCTGGCTCTGCAGCAAATCGATGCCCTTTTCTACCACACTGCACTGTAGAGCATATGCCCTGCCTGTCCAGGTTTGACATCAAGAAAGTTGGCGCGTTCCATGCTGGAGCTTTTTGTCTGGCGTTGAAATTCCACCACCTGCTTGGCGGTGCGTACCCCTCGGCAACCCCTCTTATGGTCTGTGATGCGGTGACAACCCCGATCAGACGGGCGTTGCTTGCTGGTCAGTTCGCTGACACCTGTGTTGCACTACAGACCTCACAGCTGAGTGCTTGCACACCTGCGGGCTGCGGCGCTGGCGTGTCTATTCGCCAGTGCATGTTGGCGCCGCAACAAAGGTTTGGGGGTGCAAGGCCTCCTTGCGCATCCAGGGCGGCACGGCCTCAATCCGTAGCCGCCAGGATGTCATGTTGCGTGCTCATGGACTTCGCAAATGCCTTTGCCTGACCCTCAAGGTGCATCCCCAGTTGGCATACAACCTTGGACAATCAAAACACGCACGCGCCCTGCACAGGTCACAGCATCACAGCGGTAATCAATCGCACCCTGAACAGCCCCCTGTCTGACAAACCAAAGCCGTATGGGCGCGGGGACCATGCACGGTGGACGCACCTCATTTGGGCGTGAGTGTAACAATGACGATGGGTGGCATGAGAGGCGTTGCAGTGCTGGCGGCGCGTGGCCTTGGGCAGTCACTGTGTGGCACGCACACAGCAACATGCGGGTGGTGCCTCGGGCGGCAGCACAGCGTGCAGATGCCAACCTTACCGTCGCAGGCGGGCTGGGTCTTGCTTCCATAGGCAAGGCAGCGCGTCTGGACAGGAACGCAAGCAAGGTTAATGCGGCACCTGCGGCGCCTGCCTTCTTGCTAACGCAGCAGGGCCCATCGAGGCGCCCACAGCCCTCAGTGTCCAGGCCTCCCTTTACCATGAACGAGGGGCCAAATGCAATGGAATCCGCTGCTACGATCACCACACTGGTGAGGGCCACGAGGAGGGGGATGAGGCGGAGCTGGTTGGCATGGTTCCGGAGGCTGGCGTGCCTCAACCTTGAAACGAGGCAAGTGCTTTGGCGCTTGCGGGAACTAGGGCCACGAAATTAAACACGACCTTGCAATCCTCATCAAATCTCGCGTTGGAACCAGGAGCCCTGCGGACGCAACGCAGCCAGCACCGGCTCCTTCCACATGCAGCCTCGGCAGAGCTCGAACGAACCCTCTAGAACCACGAAACGCCCTCTTAATGACTTTTATCCACTGCAAATACCCTTGCACCACCATTTGTTGTGAGATCTCTCGCTGCAACTTCATTGGTAGCTCCTTGCAACACAGCTCCACGACACAACTGTGCAACACAGTTTTGCAACACTGCTCTCCAACGGACGCTAGGCTTGACAGGGACGTTGTGTGTCACAGCGTTGACCTTTCGAGATGGCTCAGAGCGTCGTGGCCTATGCTACGCTGATCGTGGGCTGTCTTGCTTTGACTGCGGTCCCTGGCGCCTCGGCACTGGTCGTGAAACTCAACACTCTCGTCCTCACAGTGCCAGGTAAGGTGTGGGATCCTTCCACAATCAGGATTTGGTGCCTAAACCACATCAACGGCCCTGAAACAACTACACCAGGCCGCCTGCCGCCGTCCTGCACGACTCGCAGCGGTTGCCTCGGACCGCACGCGCTGTCCCCTGATGACGCATGCATCAGCCGGCGGTGTGCCTTGGCTTGCCTCGGCTGGCCCGAACGCGCACTGCCCACTTCAGCCGCCTGCCGCCCGCACATGGCAGCCTTCCCTCGCACCTGCGTCGTGCTTGGGATAAGCACTCCCCTGCGCTGCACCCCGCCCCGCAATCTGCATTGATCCACCCCAACACCAACTCAGGCTGGAACATTGATTTCCTGGAGTCCACCCTGCTGGGCTATGGCGCCCCCTACACCGTCGCTCGCTACGACAAGAGCAACCCCCTCAACCTGACCCAGCTGCTGTGGGCCCCCGACGGCTCCGCTAACTTTGCCGGGTACATCATGTGAGCGTGCAGCGCCAGCAGGAACAGCGCCAGGATGTGTGTGTGGTTCTGACATGGCGCGCTGCCGCGGCAGCTGGCGTGGGCAGCCGTATGGAAGCTGCAAGAGCGAAGCATTGCAGTGATGGGAGGCTACCAAAGCATGCGATGGTGGTTTGCAGCTGGACCAAACCCTCTTCCTCAGCATTCAATCGCCCACCACGCCCGCTGCCCCAAGGTACCCCAATATCGAGGCCATGGGCCACCTCAACAGCACACAGGTCCTCACGATCTGGGACTACCAGAACCGCACAGGCAGGTGGCAACGATTGCGTTTGGGTGCCTTTGGGTGTTGGGCTGAAGGCTTGCGACACCCATGCATGCATTTCGGGTTTGACGAGCTGCAGCACTTGAGCACTGCTGTTTTGAGGTGGTGTGTCGTCGCCCAGACGCAGCGCTCATCTGGCGATTGCCGGTAGTGGAGTGACGGTGATGCAGCCGACGGCACGCCTGAGGCCTCCAAGCCACGCCGCCAGCTTGTGAAACCAGCAGACCCTTCATTTCGTGCCGCAGCTGCATGACCCATCCAGCCACCCCATTCGCACCTTACTCCTCGCACACGTACGCACACATGCGCGCAAGAGCGTGCGCAAGCATGCGCACGTGCACATCCAACGACCACACCCACACACATCACCTCACCCACCCCCGCACATATTTCCAGGCGCCCGTTCCGTCAAGTTTGGTGCGTGGCCGACCAACGTGGGCATCGACGTCAACACCACCGCCTGCAGCTCAGCTGACGTCACCATGAAGTTCACGGCCGCCGCACCCCTGGGGGCGTCCGGCATCCTCCCCTCGGCCCCGCTCAGCAGCAGCGGCCTCTACAGGTGAGGGGGTCGCATGGCTGCTGAGCTCAGCCGATCGTGCGATTTACCTGCGTGTGCTCTCTTCCGGAGCGCTGATGGCACGCATCTTGCCCATCCGACTCAAAACACAACACGCACACGCCCGGGTGCAGTGCCTCGGCATGCCGGCAGCGCCCCGCCTTGACCCCGCCTGCCAACTTCTGTGCGTGCCCCCCTCCCCCGCCCGTCGCCGCTCATGTTGTTGATGACATTACCGCGTGCAGGTGCCCCGGCTCCGGCTCGGCGCCGCCGCTGGCCACCTGCTCAATGTGGGCCAGCGACTTTGCCGCCACCGGCCTGCACCCGCCCTGCCAGTCCACGCCCGTCCTGATGGTCGGCGCCAACGTTGCCGGCACGCTGGTCAAGTTTGGGGATGGCCGGGAGTCACTGGCGTTCATGCATGACTGCGCCGGTTGGTCAACCACCTGCCTGGTGAGTGCACTGTTGTGAAGCGAGAATAAGACCAGAGGGCTCGAGCTTACAGATCGTCATGATTGAAAGGGACCAGGCTGGACTAAGGTTGAAACCTTTAATCGTTGAAGGGTTCAAGCGCTGTGCGTGGTCGGCCTGACCATGTAGCCACAGACGTGGCTCCTTCCGCCAGCCCTGCCGACAATGCCTCCGCCGCCGCCGCCCGCTGCTGTCCTGGCGCGCTTGCGCTCGCTGTGTCTTGTGGCTGCAGGTGCTGGGTCACGTGTCTCTGTCCTGGATTCTCCAGGGACTCATCCCGGGGGAGCGCATTTCGCTGCTGACCGTGCACTTTGGTGAGTTTGCCCCGCATCGCCGACGCAGCCGCCGCGTCACCTTGCCCATTGGAGAATCGGGCAGCAAGCCAGCGCGAGCAAGCAGGGTTCCACCTGCCTGGGTGAACTGGCTCCCCCTGCCATGCTGGGGCGGTCAGTTGGAAGTTTGCAGCCCGACGAATACGACCAGGGTGCGCTGCCCGCGCGTACGCACTTCAAGGCGTGCACGAAGCCCAATGCAGAGGCCATATGCAGAGCCCGCCACCCACCAATGCGCCCCCTTTTTTGCCCTCCCCCACCACTCGCTCCCAACCCCTGGCTTGGGCCATCCCTCAGATGATTTCTTCCTCGCGACAGGTGGGGCGCGCAGCCCTGCCTTGCAACCGCCCTGCCAAATACATTCACTGCCGATACGCATGCCATGGCGCGGCCAGCCCTTACCACGCTGTTGCGTCTGTTCGCCATTGTGCGCCGAGCGTTTATTAGTCATATGATGGACGAGGCCCCACAAGCCACCCAAATTGCCAGCTGACATGCCCAGGCCGTCGCCGCTGAAGCACCCCGGCCCGCACAACACTGCCCTGGCCCAATCCCCCCCTCCCGCGCGTCCCTGCTGTCGCCACCGCCCCCATCCCTTCCGTCACCCCATACCCCCTGACCGCCCGCCTCCCCCAGAGTTTGACGCCAACCTGAAGGTCGGGTCGCTCACCCAGTACCGCGCGACAGTGCCAGACCTGCAGGCCCACCTCACCTGGCGCAGCGCCCTGGCCGCGTCCAGGCCAGGCACTTCAATTACGTGAGCTGGCGCCAACATGGGACCCCCTGCGTGGTAACAGCTTGCTGGCTCTCTTAGCCGCCGCCGCGGCTGCCTTGGCCTGGCAGCCAGCAACTTGTGCACACGAGCGTGGTCACCTTAAACATCAGATGAGGCGCCGGCCGACCTGCCGGACCCCCAACCACGCCCTCCCTAGGTACGAGCTGCCTTACAATGGCAACGGCGTGCTCGAGCAGGTTGCCAACACGGTCAAGACCACCAACGTGTCACCCATTGACGTGGATGACCGCAGCTGCATTGACTTCCCGGAGTATGTCACCCTCGGCTGCTCCTGCTGGTTCATTGGGATGGCCGCCTGCCCCGCCACACAGCCCACGTTCTGCCGCAACTGCACCAAGGTGCGCGGGCCGCTTGCGCATGCTCGACTTTGGGCTCCATCTCCTTGACTGCGCCATAGCCTGCAGTTGCGGGATGCCACCTGCTGCGTGCACACGCACTGCAGTATGTGATTGACAACTGACAGCTGTTGGTGACGCGAGCCCCAAAAAAGAAAGGAGGACAGCAGCTCCCATCCATGCTTCGGTGCCACCCTCCCCCCTCTCACCATCATCAGGACTGGGCCAAGCCCCTGGGCTCTGGCGTTAATCGCGCCGCCCAGGTGTGAGACGCACGGGTGGTCTGGGCAAACCGCACCATGGCTGGCCAAAATTTGCACTGTGCAAGGCCAATTTGGGACTCGTCTTTGACTCGGAGTCAACCTGCGTTTGCAGACACTCATGCTTGCCTCTAACAGTCCCCCCTGACCGGTTATTTGCCCAGAGAAAATATTCTGACCTCAAATCACAAATCGCACCTTGTACAGAGCACCAAGACCAACAATGCCACCTGGAACGTCGCCGACTTCAGCGCCGGCGACCCCCTGGCCAACTTCATCATCACCAACACCAACGGCCAGGCAGACGGGTTTTTCTACGATCACCACACAGTGGGTTCTCCCTTCAATGGGCGGCCTTGGCTGCAAAACCTACTCTGTGGCGTCACAAGAGGCTGCCTCTTGGCCTGGGTCTGTGTGCCTGCTCTCGGCACCTTGGGCGTCCATGATCAGCTGCCAGCCCGCCTTAAGCCACCGCTGTCCGCGGCCTGCTTTACCCTCCCATTGCAATGGGCCCCAGCCTTGTCATGCCTGGCACAGAAACGACCATCAACCAATAACCACCAACCCCTGCCGCCCCCCTCAGTTCTCCCACGAGAACCTGGACAACGCTACGTCCTTTGACACCGACATCCAGATCGAGCTCAACATGCAGATGGCGGTGTGCCGCTTGGGGTGCCACCGCTCCTGCCTGCTGGGCCGAGCAAAGGGTTGATGCGCAGCCGCCGCGCGATGCAGTCATTGCTTGTACGTTCCGAGGTTGCACTGTTTGCATGTGATAAGCCCATGTTTGCCATGGTGCCCCTACCCAGCATACCCCAATCCCCTGCGATGACGCACTGCCGCTGCTCTGGGTATGCCTGCCTGCCTGCCACGTCCCCCTTGCAGTCATACCTGAGCCTGGCGTCGCGCAAGTCCTACAGCAGCAAGTGCATGGTCACACCCCAGGTGATATCCCGGAAAAGCCCGGTTCACCGCGTGAACCAGCCGGCTGCGCTGTGCACGTTTGAGGGCCCCCCCTGCAGGGGCTTGGGCCTCGCTCCCCGACTCGGGGCGGTGTGTGGCGTGTGTGTTGCTCTGCAACGCGCTCACAAGCTGGTCGGCCCATACTCCGGCTTTGCAGCTGCTGAAATTGATGTCGTCCATGTCCCTCCTTCATGGAATGTACCCCAGATCAGCGGCCTCCGCAACGGCGACGCGCTCGCCTCCCTGGCGCGCCACGGCGTCGTCTGCGGCACCGGGGACAACACCTGGTAAGAGCAGGCCCGACACTTTCAGACACGGCTCTTCGCCTGCAAATCAACGCATGGCGCTGGCATTTGCGCACTGAACTCCTGGCACCCCCCCATCTCTCCCCTTGCCAGCTGGCAGGAAGTAGACTCGCATGTGCAGTCCCGTTGACTGGCAACATTGGCAGCTGTATTTCAAAAAATCTACACTCAAGAACGAGTAAGACAGTGATCTTCCTGCCTCCCTGCCTCACTCTATCTGCCTCTCACCCTCGCAGGCCCTTCCTCATGAACACCAACAACCCCCACCACATGCTGTTGACCAACAAGGCCACCAACGGCTTCGATGGTTTCGAGATCCTGCCGAGGTTTGCCACTGAGATTTACTACAACTGTTCGACTCCCACTCAAAACATGGTTCTGTACAACAACCTGTACAGGTGAGCTGGCGGTCTTATATGTCTTTTGTCGTATTGTGATGGGCATTTAGCACCAGGTTGCCTTCGCCCTGCACGCAATCAGCGTGTCTCTCAATGCCGGTGTGATGCTGTGATGCCTCGCCGAAGCTGTGACTAAGCCCATGGTGCAGTGACTAAGATATCATCTGGACCTGCGCGCTCAACCGCGTCCTCATGCAATCCATCCGCACAGGTCGTTCTTTGGTGGTGACTCGACCATCGCTGACCTGATGCAGCGCGAGGCGGCGCGGGTGTCTCGCGAGCTGTTCAAGCTGCGCCACGATCCGTACATGATGGTGGGTTCGGGTGTCAGGCGGGCTGCCGCCTGGGTTCAGGGCTCAAGGACGGGTGTATAAAAGGATGGGTAGAGTCGGTGGTTGCATCTGGCAAGGATTTCCCGTGTGACCGCCTCCATGGTCCCTGTGGAAGTCGTGCTGCGCACGCTGCTTGCCAAGGTTGGGTATGCCTGCATGATGCCTGCCCCACATGCACATCTGCCAGCTGCAGCCAGAAATTCCAGAGCAAGGTTGCTGGGTTGCTCCGGTGCTCTTCAATGCATGGCACACAAGGCCGGACACTGTGCAACCGTTGTCTCTAGCTTGCCGCTTCCTCGGCGCCCGCTTGCATGCACTCTGCTACGACGCGCCCTTCTGGGGCAGGCATGACCCATGTCCCTTCATGTCGCCCCCCACACCTCAACTCCCGCAGCACCAAGCCAACCTCGCAATCCTGGACGGCTCCGGCAAGAGCCTGTCCATGCGCTGGGTGGACGCCGTTGTCGCCGAGTTTGGCAAGTATGCCTCGTGGCCCCTCACCTCCCTGAAGCTCGACGACCTGAGGGCCGCGTTCCTGGCCAGGCAGGCGCGCGACGCGTGCGCGCTGTCGTACGCAATCGAGGTTGGCGCCAACCGCACCGTCACGGCCGTCACAGTGAAGAGCGGCGCGGCAGCTGACGGGACCCAGTGCTCTGCGCCGCTGATCATGGGCGGTAGCAGCACCAGCACATCCGTGGCCAAGGGCGGCTCTGTGCGGGTCCAGCCTGCGGGGCTGTCCTGGTTTGTGCCCCAGCCCGCATGACGGGCCGCACGCAGCATTGCACTTCCAAGCCAGACTGATAACTCTGATTCACACCCACAATTTATGAGTGGTGGGGTGGTGGCGTCCTGCGCTCGGCAGCACTTTTACCAAGCGCATGCTTCCCTTTGTTGGGCTGCGGCATCCCTGTTGCCGCGTCCCCACCTCACTCTCCAGGTTTCCATGTGCTGTTTTTCACAGCCGAATCAGTTGTGCCCCATTCAAAGCGCGCCCAACAGGAATTGGTGATACTGCCTTTTGGCTAATAGTGGAAAACGTCATTCGGGGTCCAGGGCGTCATCACACTTGTTGATCAATCGATTAGGAGGCAGCGTCACCACCTTATTCCCGACATCCTTCGTTTGTCACTGGCCTGCTCTGCAGCAGAAGTCTTTTGTGGTCAGCGCTGCAGAGTCATTCGTGCAAGGCGCGGCTCTGCGGCACATGCCCTTTTCTGCCACACTGCCCTGCAACCGCCAGGCCGAGCTGCCTGTGCCCAGCTAACGTGTTGTGCGCTGATGGCGGCATTTGGGCTGGGATATCAGTAGTAAAGCCCTGAGATGTGTCTTGGTCTGTCAAAACGCGCGCTTGCTGTGTCATTGAAGTGCAACAGGTCCATCAACAGTCGAACGATTGTTTTCAGAGCACTTGGCGCCATGTAAGAACTGCCCTGTGGGGCGCGAGGCTGTGAATGGTCTGACCTCATGAGGGTGGGGATGCAATGACCGGTTGCGTTATGGTGGTGGAAGGTCGCAGGGCTGCCGGTCCAGGGGGGGGTACACGCCCTTGCAGGGAGGCGATGCTCGAAAGCAGCGCCGGGTGGATGAGAAACGAGCGCCCCAGCTGCTGCCTGCAATGCCGCCCGGCCCCACCCTGGCGTATTGTCCTCTGGACATGCGGGGAGCGCACGGTGGCATCGGGCTCAACGGAAGGTGAGGATTACACAAGCCTTGATGACAGGCACACGGCCGCAGGTAAGGCGGCCAGCCTGCGTCACCTGGGTGCGAACACGCCTGGACGACAGGAACACGGACGCGGATACAGGCGGCCAGCCTGTGTCACCTGGGTGCGAAGGCTGGAGCAAAGCCAGCGGCGCCTGCTGTTTGCGGTACATCAAACCAAGCGAAAAAATTAAGGCAAGCGTGCCCAGAGCGACTCCCCGCCTCGCAAGCCCCTCCGCCGTGGTGCCGCGGTCCGGGGGCGCCGCATCAGCGGCGGGTCAATGGCCCTGGGCGCTCACGAAGGCCTGCTCAGCGAGGTCGACCGCGCGGCCCAGGGCGGCAGCCTTGTTGATCGTCTCCTCGTATTCCAGCTCGGGCACGCTGTCCGCCACCAGACCCGCGCCGGCCTGCGGGTACGTTTAAAGAGACGGGTGTTCCCAAATGGGCGGCGGGGCGCGGGAGTGCATGAGTGTGAGGCAAGCAGACGAGGAAGGTTGCCCGGGGAGGGGCCGGGGTGGTCCGCGGGCGCGATCCCATGGGTGAGCGGGGGCGCACGCGCAAACGGGGGCGCCGCTCGGCGACCGGGCCCTGGTTGCGTGGGCCAGCCCTGTCGGCTGTGCGGACATGCCGGCCATTCAGGCATGGGGTGGCTACTCCATTCCATCCACCGCTCCTCACAGACTCCCCGCCCCGTCCGCTCACTGACAAGGCACAAGCACCCCTTCCGCCACAACACTGGAGCCCCCCTCTGTATACACACACAGAAACACACACACACACACAAACACACACACGCGCTCCCATCACACGCGCCTGGATGTGCACCGCCCACTCCCTCCGGCTGTCGGGGCCGTTGTACGAATACAGCGTGTCCCGCGCCGCCGTCTGGATCACCATCGTGCGCAGCGCCAGGGCCATGTCCATGGACCCGGTGAAACCGACGTGCCCCAGGCCGCCGCCGTAGGGGCCGCGCCTGTTGACCTCGAGCTCGTCGATGATCTGCATCGCGCGGACCTGCGGGTCCGAGGTTGGCGGGGGGTCCGAGGTTAGTGGGGAAGGGGAGACGAGGTTGGCGGGCGCGAGCGTCGTAGAGGTGGGGCGGGGGGCTGCCGCGGCGCTGGCATGGGGATGCACATGCATGTTGTTGTTTTGGCTTATTGAGCGGGGGGAGGAG